ATTGGTTTGCAATTTATTTAAAACTACATTTAGGATGTAGGATTTTTTCCCCCTTTGAAAAATAACTAGGCTATATTGTTTGGCCCCTAAGTTTTTGCCTGAATTAATAAAATTGAGAGTTTTCTTTAATTTCATCAAGTATTCATTATATTAATATCGTCGGTAATGTTCTTAAAGTTTTGAGTTTTGTAAAATTCATGAAATCTTTGAATGTTTTATATATATTATCTTCTCGTTCCACTCTATCGCACAGTTATTATTTAAGTTTCTGACAATGGACTTCTTGGGTTGTAATCTGGTCAATAGAATGGTTGTGGCGAATTCAGAAACTGACTATTTAAAAAAAAAAATCGACTAATATGCAAAAACAAAAATTTCACATAATTTTCTTTTACCTATAAAACAAAAAGTTTACCCATCAAAAATTGAAATGGGTTGGGGCTTGTCTGGGAATCCACCACTAGTTGTGAAGTAAAGCAAAAGAACAATGAACCAAAGAGGGTTTTTATTAACCATTTAACTTACTAAATAGCAAATACATGGACTGACTTAGTACGAAAGACTCAACACCACAATGTAGTTGACAAGTTTAACCTAAGCAGATACAAAACTTTCCTTTTAAGTCCAAAAGCACATGTTGCACTCTTGTACTTGTCGTGTAGGATTTTCTTGCACACATCTATGCATTTAGGTAGTGTGCATGGATTCATTTCGACTCCAAATGCACATTCTACGCTGTCTGGGGCTAAAATTAGCATCCCAATCACAATTGCCACCACAACAATAACCCAATTTTCAATGCCTTGGCTTCCATTGAGAGCTTTGTGATAAGAATTGCAAATTATATAGGAAGATAGACGACGTTCTAAAGAATAGAAAATTTGAGAAGAATGGTTGATAATCCTTTCATTGATATGTATTCGTATAAGTATACAAGAAATTCCAAAATATGAATGGAAAGAAGTTATGATATAGTAATTATAATTGGACACGGTTTCTAATAAATATCTTCTAAATTATTTTCCATACAAATTATCCAAATCAATGACAAAATCGTCATGATCTTTTGAATAATGATTTGAATTAAAATTATAGAAAAATATCTCCATATATTTAGTTTTAGAAACAAACAAAGCTAAATTCCACTAGTGCGGATGCGATCTAAATAAAAATATCAAACCTAATTGGCTAAAGTCATATAAAATTGCATTTGGGTCCTTCAACTCCTAATTAATAATGAAAAGCACCTATTAGCAAATAATAACTAAGAAATATTTTTTTAAAACTCCTAATTATTAAATAATAAATGAAACAAAGTTGTGCTTCAGAGCATCTTCAGAATGCTTTTTAAATATAGACATTCTCTATTTTAAAAACTCAATCATTAAACGTTGTAACATAATATATTAGTACAACATGCTAGATGTACAATGATGGTTGACAGTATTCGTTGATAATCATGATTTGACATCATTACATTCTTCAATTTCAAAAAAAAATCAAAAATGATTTTTTAAATCAATCATCCAGATTTTGCCATATTAAACATTGTCAACGAATCTTGTCAACAATTATTGTGCAAGTAGATTAATTCATATTAGTATGGCTCAATTATGTGTTTTTTTTGTTTTTTTTGCAAACAAAACACAATCAAATGGTAATATGGGCCATCCCCAGGTGTGGGCTCGAAACCCCAAACCTGCCATGCTTGGGTTTCACATGGAGCCCATCAATTAGTAAATTGATTAATACTCTTTCAACTTTTAATTGTATAATATACGTTCATCAATACAAATAATCAAATCATTGATTGTGCGGTGGGAGAGCCTGAGGCCATTGATCTTGTCTACATAGGAGGCGGCGTAGGGACGGATGACTTGAGTAAGGGAACTTTCGGAAGTGGATTTGTTGAATTGAAGAAAAATATGGTTCAGATTAGGGATTGAGTCAAAACTCTTTGAAGAAAAAACTAGGATTATGAGGATTTGAATTCGGAATGCAATGGTGAAAATGAGTTGAAGAGAAAAATGATCCTATTGTAATTGAGATTTTGTCCAATTCGAGGTCCTTTCCGCGTTTACTTTTTTTCTTTAAGTAATTCAGTTTTTGATAATTCATTTTATTGCTTCATTCGTTAAAGTAAGACAATAATATATTTATTAATTTTTGTAATTAATTAATTTATTTTTAAAAGTTAAATTATTCAAATATATTTGGTGAATTAAAAATTTTATTATTTGTCATATTCCTTAGATAATCTTAATTGCCATATTTTATTAACTAATGAAATTTCATCGAGTTTTCCATTAAAAGTACTGAATTCTTAAAAAGATTTAAATTAAAGATTAAACGGGGCAAGAAAGGGCGAGATAGGTTCGACGAGTTTTTTTGCTATCCCTAAAAATGGCGATTTGCAAAAGAATGGCTTTGTGGATATAGTTGTTGAGATTAAAATAAATAATTTTGCAAATCCAGTTAGTGAATCCGCTGTTAAGGTCAACATAGGTTGAAAAACCTTATAAAAATGGCAATAGGGAGATACATTCAGATAGTGCTAACAATGTCGAGGAAATTGAGAATTTCAAATCAATAAAGCCATGAGTACTGGAAAATTTTAACAGAATTTATATCAATGGTGTTGTGGCAAAATGTGATTGGACTGTTTCTTTTTTCTTTTTTCCCATCTTCCAATAATACCGTGCCATGTATTGTCCACAAGGATTTTCAATTAAAAAAAAAAATTATGTACTTATAGCATGATTGATTTCAAATACCCTATGCTGCAATTGATGAGAGGATAAGGAAAGAAAGAGTCGGTGGAGTTGTAACTTTATTATTTGTCACTTTATTGAATTTTGGGGATATTTATCACTTTTTCAATTTTTTAATAATAAAAGCGACGACATTTAACTTACGAAGTGACATTGGCTCACTTTTTTATAAACAACGATGACATTGTGTAACTTAATGTTACATAATATTTTTACATTTTTTTTAAAATTTCCTATCACTTTTTTTGAAAATTTTGTTACTTTTTAAAAAAGTGACCCTTAACTTATAAAAGTGATATAAAAGCGCCGCTTGATTTTACACAGCACCTTTTCCTTTCAAAATACTTTTCACTCGATTTCTTATAAGACCCCTAATTATAAAAGTATTTTTGTAAGTTGGCATTTTCATATGGCCCAGTTCACATAATGAGCCATGGCGAACTCGGATGATTCGACTGACTTCATTTGATGAAGGTAAAATAATTCAAGTAGTGTGGTTATAGTTTCTACCTTCAAAAGTGAAACTTTGAATTCCAACATATTTGAATATATGGATTCTAATACCCACGTGAAGATAATCTTCAATTAGATGTTAAAATCGTCAGAATTCAAAACATTCGTTTCTGAACGTTTAATACCCAGAAGGCCAGAACCACGCCGTGTGAAATGATCACGAGTTCGACCCTAGTTCAACCTTTAATCGAAGAATTCTTAATTATCGCTCTTATTCTCTTACAGACACAAGTATAAAATACAATCATTTAATCACGTACCTCATTCAAAAAATAAAGTCTACTTAGAGAATCACGTACCTTTATCAAGAAACAAAACTACTTCGATGGAGCGAGAGAATTGATCGAGGCACATATTGCTTAAATATAAATAATTATATATAATTCCTTAAATTAAGGTCAAAATTATATAAATCTAAAATATGTGTAGGTAAATCTATTTATTTATGGATTAAAACTCTGCATCAAAATCTTATTCAAATTTCAATCGTTCAAAATGATAAAAAATTTCAAGGATAAAGGGAAAATTTATTCTATCATTATCAAGAAATAGACCCATTTTTTGTAAGAGTGATTTCAAAAGAATATCAAATGATTTACCTTGTATGACAATCATTATAAAGAGGATTTTTTATTTTTTATTTGTAGGAAATAAGTTTTGAAATAGTGATTTTTCGAAAAGTGTATGGTTAAAAAGTAGAAAAAATTAGATGGATTTTCCCCCCCCCCCGTGTACAGAAGCCGACCACCAGAATATTGCCATAACAGAGAGAAATGCGTGGGACCGACCATGTGATTAAAAAAAATAAAAAATACACGGGACCCACCAAATGTGTGTATTCTGGTGAATTTTTGGTGAAATCCTTTCTGTACATCCAACATCATTCAAATTAAATTTACGTGCATAATATTTTATTATTATAATATGTAGTTGAAAATGAGTTGAATTTATTTATTTATTTTTTTGTTATCATATAAGAGCATAACTAGCCCATGTTTGACAACCATTTTTTTTTTTAAGAAAATGAAATTTTGAATAGTGATTTTTAGAAGAGAGTGTGATTAAAAAATAGAAAATAATTTTGAATTTATGTGTATAATATTTTGTTGTATAAATATATGGTTGAAAATGAGCACGTAAAAAAAATAAATTGAAAAAAATGGTTTAATTGAATACCATTTAGGAAAGAATTGCATCATGATCCTTAACCTATTAATCAAACCGCAACTTTTCTCTCATACTTTTCTCCCTACCACCCTATTCGCTCAGGGTGGCCCGCCCTCCCTATTGCCAGCTACAAATTTCCCTCGGAACTTATTTGTCAACATGATGATATAATATTAATTTTAACTTTTTTTTTATTATCGTCCAATTGCAAATTACCCTTAGTGATCAAATGCATAAAAACCGCATCTCCTTTTGCTATTGCTTTCAAGTGAAAAACTAGAAAGGGAATATATAGCATTAACAACTCTAAAGACAAGTCTATACAAGACAACGTACTTTGTAAGTGACAGAAAAAAAAAAAAACACCATTACAACCTGAAAACTTGTGATCATCCACTAATTTCGCACATACCAATGGGCTTCATGCTCTCCCTGTTTCTAAAAGAAAAAGTCAATAAATTAAAAAACTAATTAATTACTTTGAGTAAAATTTCATTTCTTAATAAAAAAATGAAAAATACAAGAATGCCATTGACTTGCCTCCACAAGTTAGTCTTTGTCCTTGCCATTAGGTGACTTGTGGAAATGTGCTCCACCATATTTCTTGATTAATTTTTCTCTAACGAACTTTTCGTATATAAAAGCAGCTCCTCTGAATTGTGGCAGGACCAACCATGCCACGAAGGCTAGCTTCACATCGTACCATATTGGTATCCTACAAATTATATATTTGTGTTTATTTTATTGTAAAAAAATGTGAAAAAAAAATGTATTTAATTTACCATTCTAAGATGGGTTGGAGCAGCATCTCCATAAGAGTAAGAAAGGAATATAAAATCCAATAAGCAAGCCATTGCTCATCGTCTAGTTTTGACGTGCTCTCTATAGCCACCACCGATGCGTATCTATCCCACATCATTAAAATATTATATATAGCTAAAAATTTATGTTGAGTACTTAAATGAGAGAGAGAAGGGTCACTTACAGTGGGTAGAGCAACATAATGGATGGCCTGCATGTACGAGTTTATGATTAAAATTTAAGTTAACGGTAGTTATTTATAATTTTAATCACATATTTCATTGATCCCACAACTTTTTCAACCACGCGTTCTATTAACATTTATCAACATATATTAAGGATCTAATATTTATATAAACCAAACATACGTTAACAAAAAAGGGTAATGCTACATGTACACACGCACTTTTACATCTTTCTCACATGGAGGGGGGTCCATGATTATTTTATTATGTGTGGGCCCCCCTCAATGTGAGAGAGGTGTAAAAGATTGTATAAAAGATTGTGTACACTTAGCATTATTCAACAAAAAACTAGCAAAGTAAGAATATGTGAAATCGCTCTCCCTCCCCCTTCGCCTCCCACCCCAAGCCACCAATTTAAACAAAAGAAGAAGGCAAAATTACCCAGAAACTGCATGAATATGAGCAAGCAAAGTCCAAAAACGACTCATGTCGTCTCGTCTTGATGAACAAATGAAGAAAAGATTGCTTGCAATCAGAAAACGGTTTAAAACTGTCAAGACCGTAAAGAGACAAAGTTGAGAGAACAATTTTCAGAGAAGATGGTAACAGCATTTTATAAAGGGCAGAGATTGGGGCACGTGGCAATCTAGGTTTGGCACCGGCCATATCAGTAGTTAACTGACCTACATCTTAATTTACATTAATTGTAAGAGAAATTTATATTTACTTTTTTGGTTTATAATTTAATGAAAATGGACATTAGTAACATGATTGTCTCGTGCTTTTCTTCAACCACAAGCCACAGTTTGCTGTTTTTGGTCGGTGACATGTTGAGCAGGTTGGTCGTTTATTTCCTAATATTTATGTTTCGTGAACCTTAGAAAGAATACTAGAAACACAGAATAATCATGGACAATGTAATCATCTCGACATTAAGCCCCGGTTTGGTCTCCATTTTTTATTGAATTCATTTTCAACTGCATATTTTATCATTTTTATTTTATTAAAATCTACTAAAAATCTAATTTTTAACTAAATTAATCAGTGGCTAACATATTTTTACTATTCTCTAAACTTTTGTATCAAACACGTTGATGGTTTTAAGCAGGAGATATTATCTAATTAGGACAATCTACCTGATTTTGGATTATATTCTCGATTTTTCCATTTGAACCGATCGGTCAGGGTCGATTTTGATAACATTAGTATTAATCTCGAGAGTATGCCACCTACACTCCTGATTAATTAAACAATAATACCATAAAATTAACCATATTTTGGTGAAAAAACCCGATTTATCAAAATGTGAATCTAAAATAATCACAATCCAAATGTTCCCAAGCTCATTGTAATGGCCTCTCACAAGAAAGAGTCCCATATAATGGGCTTATAAGATTTCAAATTTCAATGGGCCTATTACTAATTCAACTTGAAGATGAAAATATAAGTGGAAATCCATTAAGGTTCTCAAGTGATAGTCCAAGAATCCTTAACCCCCTAGAATCAAATCTTTAATAGGCCAATTATATTTAAACAGGCTTCAATGGCCTCTCTCCAACAAAAAGATCACATCCATTTAACACCCATAAACAGACCTCATAAATAAAGGGTTAATACCCTAAGAAGTCACCGAACTTTGCCAAAAATTTTCGAAAGATCATCGAACTTCAAAAATTTCCTAAATAGTCACTGAACTTTACAAAAGGTTCTTAGGAGGTCACCGAACTTCAAAACTTCCATAAATAGCTTTGCTAAAAATTTCCTAAATAGTCACTCAACTTTATAAAAAGTTCCCAATGGGTCACTGAACTATTGATGCATAGGGTCTTAATTTGCAAAGTTCGGTGACCTCCTCAAAAGTTTTGGTAAAGTCCGGTGACTATATAGAGAAGTTTTGAAATTCAGTGACCTTCTAGGAACTAATTGTAAAGTTCAGTGACTATTTAGGGAAGTTTTGAAGTTCGGTGACCTCCTGAGAATTTTTTACAAAGTTCAGTAACTATTTAGAGTATTAGGCCTATGTACACTCATTTAGTCATTGTTCTATACATATTCTTTTAACTTTGGTTTTCTAAAAACTCATTTTCAATCACATTTCTCAATAAAATAATTATATATATAAATTTATAATTTTTTAAAAACTTTTCAACCACAAATTCTAGAAAAATAATTTGGACCTCATCTCTATGGTTCAAAATGCATTATTTTGCCCTTATTTGACAATCATTACCTCAAAACTCTTTAATTTTCATACTAATTTTCAACGGTGCATTTACACAATAAAATATATTGCACGTAAACCTAAAATTTCTCCATATTTTTTAATCACACATTCTTCTTTTTTTTTTTTTTTTTAAATCACAATTCAAAACTCAATTTTAACAAAATAATAACCATGACGACTTTAGAATTGTAACAAAAAATTATTCAATATTACTACTGCTTTGATTTTTTATTAAATAAAACTATTCGTACAATCTTTGTTGATACTTCATGTGTTTTTCAAGATTTGTATCATTAATTTAAAAAACAATTTTAAAAATTGACAGTATAGATTCATGTCAATCATGATTGTATATGTAGTATGGTAGGGAACTACCATGATATGCAACTTGTGCCATCCATCATTTCCAACGGTACTAGTTTTTGTTGGTGATTCAGTAGGAGCCCAATGAGTTTGTCAGTTAAAAAAAGATTGGCAGTCTGCTTCTTAATCCCACTCAACGTTTCTCGTTAAACTCAATCAGCCCCTAGGATTACCACCAACTTGTTGTACCTTTTTTTTTTCATAATTTATTAATTAAATAAATCATCATTTAAGCTTAAAATATGAAACTCGTCAACAAGTATTTTACATTTTAAGATAACATTCCAATGCTAAAAAATTGTAAACAATGCTAAGATATGTCAACTTTTAAGATAGAGCTTCGAAATTTGGGCCAACTTTTTATATATGACCTCATGAGATGGGCATTTGAGTTTCTTTTCTTTTCTTTTTCCTTTTTATTATATATTATTTTATCTCGTACTTACTTCTTTATTTTCGAACATAATCACAAGGTAAACAATATTATCTCTTTCTGACACTAGTTATTGTTACGCATTTATAACTAAATGTACCATTCTCTAAGAATTTATTATTTTTAATAGAATTTAAAAATACATCGCCCTTGTTTGAGGGCCGTTATTTGACAAATAATGCATTTTTGAATAAAGAAAATGGGGATAATAACCTAAATGGTCATTGAACTTTGCAAAAGGTTTCCATCGGGTCACGGAACTTTAAAACTCGCCCAAGTTATCACCAAATTTTGTAAAAGATTTTCACGAGATCACTGAACTTTAAAAATCACCATATTCATTACTAAAAGTTTGCAAAAGGTTTCTACGAGATCACTAAAGTTTGTAAAAGGTTTCCTAGGAGATCACTCAATTAGTGACCCCTAAGAAACCTTTTGCAAAGTTTAATGATGAATGATGTGATTTTTAAAGTTCAGTGATTTTGTGAAAACCTTTTGCAAAGTTCGGTGATGGCTTGGATGATTTTTAAAATTCAGTGATTCGGTGGAAACTATTTGCAAAGTTCAATGAACATTTGTGTTATTATCTCAAAGAAAATGTGTGGTTAAAAAATAAAGAATTTTTTTTTGTTTACGTGTCATATAATTTTATTGAACAATGTGTAATTGAAAGGAAGAAAAATATGTATATATATATTTTCAAAGAAATGGAGATCAAATAAATTCTTATAGGTGAGAGAAAAAGAAAATGCACGCTTGATTTGACTCGAGAATGCGATTAGCCACTAGCAATGTTACACTGCGAGGGCCACATGGACTCTAGCAATGCTAGGGGGTCAGCTGGCAAGGCTCCTGGCAAAGTAGAAAAACATTTTACTCATTTACTGCTATTTTATTTTAAACCCATAAAATGACTTGGCCATCGAAGATAAATAGCCGATGCCAAACCACCTCCTCCGACCGGGCAGAGTAAACTAGTGATTGTACGAAGACCTAAATCTAACGGTGGAGATCACATCATAATGCGTGTAAAGGAACAGGCTCCTCAATGATTAGAACTTGTGAAAATAATGATCCAACCATTCAACGACGCGATGTCGTATCATTGTCCAATGAGAAGGACTATGGTCCTATTGATTCACAGAAAGCACATACAATGATGGAGAACCTTTTGTAATATCACCAGTACCATTCACAAGATAGCCAGGTAAAGATATATAATGGGACATGTGAAAAAGGAAAAATTACAGTACAATAGTACATTCAAATAATGGTACGCTCATGTTTGAGCTACGTTAAAATTTTTACTTTTTTCGACTCATTTTCAATCACACATTTTTCAAGAAAATAATATTTTTCACAACATCAATAATTTTTCCTTCATTTTCAAGCATACATTCCTCATCAATCTACTATTCAAAAATATATTCTTCCAAAATAATATGACTCAAACACATCCGGGATAAATATAACTTTTATTTTGTGGGATTTCTTTGCTTGTACATAAGAAGAGCCGTGAGAATTTCATCATACGCTACATCTAGTTGTTTTGCTTCTTTTTTTTGTCATTATCGAATCAAAAATTGTCAAGTGTATTCTGGCAGCATTTTTCTGTACGCATAACAGTGCTGTTATTTTGTGAGCATTCAAGGTACAATTGATGAAATTAATAATAGTAGATAAATTAAGAAGGAAGATTTAGATCATGTTTGTGGTGACTTTTCTTAAAAATAAGCAATATATATGACTTATTTTTAACGTGAAGCTACCTACATTCAAAATAAGTCAACATAAGCCATACTTTTGGAGTTTAAGATAGGCCATCACAAACATGCCCTTAATTGTTTATAGCACGTTTCATGTTGAAGTGACTTTTGCCGTGGAAGATATGGGAACGATAGCTAAATATTATGTCCTAACCGTAATCAAGTCATGTCGTGTTTGCTTATTTAAAAATATAACGATTTTTGACAAAAACATTCTATTTTTCCATATGGTTTTTGGCTTATATATAAATATAGTAGAGTTGATAGTACTAATTAGTGAGACCTTACCCTGATCAAGGCATCTTTACAAGTTGTTATGGCTACTCGTTCCATTACCGAACTTTAGAACAACAATGTCGTAGTTGGTAAGGACGATGTTGGGACATGGAACCTTATATCATGTTTGGTAGGATTTTAAAATTATTTTTTATTAAATTTACTTTTTTTCCATGTACTTCGTCAAATTCACAAGAATTACTTACTTATCTACCATTTATTTCAAATTTGTTTCTAATTTAAATTGATTATAATCACCCACCAAACATGCCCAAATTGACTAAATTAAAGAAATTAAGCGCAAAATTTATGGATGTATCAAGTAATCTTCCCAGTCCCCATACCTCCCTCACCTAATTGTCCCCCGTTGTAGATAGTTTTCTGCTAGGATAATAAAATTACCAACAAACATTGATATGAAACTCA